AAAATACTCATTAATATTTAAAATTGTAACATTAATTCCTTACCCAAAATAAATTTCTAACACTGCATTACTATGAAACCAACCGTGACTGCCTAAAATGTTGCAAATCATGGTCTCAAAACTAACTTACTAATTATAATGACTTAGATATTATGAGTCATTCCAGACTAAAAAAAATTCAAAAAATGACTGCAAGTACAAGAGAAAAAATGGTTTAGTAGGTAAACATAGTGGCTGCATATACAATAGAAAGAATTCAACATATACCTAAAGGTGATTTAAACATGTCCAACCTGTTTAGGAGCAGTTGTTCCAAGGGTAACACCTACATGAAACTCTGCAAGATACCAAAAAATATAATGAGGATAAAGTTATTAAAATAATGTTAAAAAAGACAAAGTTTTGTTTCATAAAGTACCTGGAACTATTGAATAAGTTATGCCATATTCTTCAAGCAAATCAAGGGCTTTTGAGTCGTTCTCGTTAGAAAGGCATCAACCAATTTTGAAAACAAATAAGCGTCTCGCCCATTGTCGGACTCAAAGAACTCTATACATGTCTAAAATCCTCCCCAGTGCCAAACGCACATTTGTATGCTACGCTTGAAACACGTGTTATCAAAACATCCCTAACCAAAAGTAGCTAATATAGGATACCAGGTGGAATTCTCCTTCCACCATTTAAGAATGTTAAAATTTTCAACATCTCCCTAACATGGATCACCTAAGTACCTCTCTAGTTCATTTTCATTATCAACTGTGTCTTTCTCCTTCAAGTGTTGTTTAAAAGCATCAACCCTTGTAAAAAGTGATGATTTTCTAGTTTGGGTACATGTTTCTCCATGGAAAGTGCTCCCGGATGGTGCATCTATGAGGGCACCCCTAACATTCTTATCATGCTTAGATGTATACCAATTGTACAGTTTAAATAGACTTTTTTTGACACACTCAACATTTTTCTTAGCAAGTTCACTATCAACCCCATATATGTCATTGAAAGACTACTCAACATAACCGAGCTTAAACCTAAGGTCAAAGATCACTCTAAAATAGAGAAAATGATTCACTTTTTTTGACACACTTAACATTTTTCTTAGCAAGTTCACTATCAACCCCATACATGTCATTAAAAGACCACTCAACATAACCGAACTTAAATCTAAGGTCAAAGATCACTCCAAAATAGCGAAAATGATTTACTTTTTCAATATCCCCCCAATATTTATCATATTTGGTCCTCATATTTGAAACCATTTGAGCCACATAGGTATTTATGTTCAAGGACGCTTCTTGAAGCTTACACAAAATGTCAAACAAGTTAGGAAAGGCTAAATGTAATGACAATTCTTGCAAAGATGAAAACAATTTTGTTTTCAAAAAAATCACAAAAGCCCAAGCTTTTTTTCAATCAGTAGAACAAGGTGGATCAGAAAGGTCAAAAAACTCTATGTAGCTAGGATTCTCATCCTCTAACTTTTCAAATGTTGCTTGGAACTTCTTAGCAGCATCCAACATCAAGTAAGTGGAACTCCAACGTGTGGAAATATCAAGGCCAAATTTTCTTTTACATATTATCCCTACAATTTCTATACACTCATTAAACTTTAAAGCTTTTGTGGTGTGGATCTCACAAACCTAACAACATCGCGAACACTTTCAATAGCCAACTCATAATCTTTTTGTCCATCTCTCATACTAAGTTTAAGATATGGGCAACACACCTCATATGCATAAAACTCCTGACACCGATTAAAGAATTCTTTCTTTTAAGTCTTTTTCCCAAGAAAGAAACAACCACATCATTACATGTTGCGTTGTTAAGGGTAATTGTTGACACTTTCCTAAACCCACATTCCTTCAAAACATCCTCCACTTTTTTTACCAATGGTGTCACCCTTGTGATTTGGAACTAAACTAAAACTAATAATCTTTTTATGATAGTTCCATGCATTGTTAATGAAGTGCGCAATTATGGCCATGTAACTAAGATTTTGAATTGAAGTCCAACAATATGTGGTTAGTGCAATCCTAACACAATTAGATTTAAAAAAGGCTTTAAGTTTTAACTTTTTGGCTCGATAAAGCTGAAAACAATCCCTAGCAAAAATCCTCCTTGAAGGGATAGTCATTTGTGGTTGTAGTGGTTTGCATAGTTTCTTAAAACCCTCACCCTCTACCACTCTAAAAGAATGCTCATCAAGAATAACAAAGGAAGTAATAGTGGATTATTGAGGGGATTTTGCTTCTCAGGATGAACATCATGAACTAGTTTAATCACTCCACTTGTTTCTCCTACCTCATTTCTATTTTTTGTCAAGTCCATAACCCCCATTTGATTTAGTCTTGATGTTATCTTCTTGAAATGCATTTCTTCCTCTACATGTTCCAAATGAGTGGCCAATAACATTGCAGTGAGTATAAAACGCTGGTAGTTTCTCAAACTCTATTTCTACAAAGAAAGCAAAATCAACCCTTTCTACAAGTATTGTGTAACTCAAAATCTTTGTGAAAATCTATATCCATAAATACCATAACAAAATGGCCAAAAAGACGATCAAAAGCAGACTTGCTCAAGGTAAATCAATTCATATTGGTGTTCCTAAACTGCTAGTAATTGTGAAAATTATTTTTCTACCAATACTCTTAAGATAACCCACGAATTTTGACCTAAACTTGAGCTAGTGTTTAGTTGACATTTGAAGGTACAAAGTCCTTAGACCAAGGAAATAATTTAATATACTTGGATTCAAGTTCTAAGAACTTTTGGATCTGGCCCTCTGCATATCTTTAAGGCTTGAAAAGGTGAACTCGTGAAAATATTTCACTAGTCTTTTGCAATGGATGACAATTTAGTAACTACCTTTGATCTAATCTTCACAATAGTTAAAAGGGGAGAGAACCTTTGAGCCATAAACGTCTACCATAGATGTTGTGCTTACAAGCTTCCGGGCCTAGTTTGTATTCTTCCTTTGAGATAGTAATGGCAAGGCAATCTCCTTTTAAGCATGACATTGGTAGTTGACTTTGAAAAATAATCAAATATAAAGTTGATTATATGATTAACATATATTAATTAAATCATTTGAAAAATAATCAAATATAAAGTTGATTATATGATTATATGATTAACATATAGTAATGGCAAGGCAATCTCCTTTTATAATATATGTTAATCATATAATCAAATATAAAGTTGATTATATGATTAACATATATTAATTAAATCATTTGATTCTCGAGATACAATCTTTCGTTATTCAAATAAAAGAGTAAGAAATACATTAAAATGAAGTAATATGCAATGAATTTGAGAAATTTTAAATAATCTATAAGTATAAATCAAACTAGATTAGAAACAATTTATATTTCCCCTTAAACTAACTTAATTAGTAATTATGTAGAGATATTAGACTACAAAAGTGCAAGTTTGAACTCTCTCATTTATGCATCTTTAATAAACAAAATTCTTTATATTAAATTAAAAGTGATGTATGAGATAGCTTAATTGTTACTACATCTTATTATAAATAGTTTTGACATTTTTATAGTTTTAAAAAAATGTAATCATGCGATAGAGAGAGATATTATGAATTTTTTTACAAAATTATCTTTCATTATATGATATAAAACATCATTAACGGTACTTGCACTGGTTTAATGGTCTATTATATATTTTAAGATAAAATTTCATTAATGACTTATTAAAATTCTAAAACGACTTATAATTTGTACTAATATTTTTCTAGGACTTACGATAAAAAAAATGAAGAGAGTATTTGTTAATTACATTAAATGGGTGCAAACTATTGGTACAAAATTCACCTCTGATGGTAAAAAAAAGTTTATATATTTTATATATTAACTAAACAGGTTGATATTTATAAATTAATCTTTATTTAATAAAACTAATAAAGAAAAAGAGGAAGAAGAAGAAGAAAAATCTATTTATAATAAATTCTTGTGCATATCCAAAGTTTAAGAAAGATTTATTTCCATTTTCACATCCACTATCCAAATCATTATTACCATAAAATAAATCTCATTTTAACAAAACTGAAATAAAAATTATTCTCATCTAGATAACAAAACCATTTTCAATATCCATAAAAGATAAAAAAAAACTCACCAAACCATTTTCGATAGAAATTAATTAGTGTAGATGTAAAATTTTTACACTGTAAATTTATCACTATTGTTTGTATGCAATTTATAGATGATCGACATTTATGATTATTTACACTGTTAATGTATTTTTATTAAATTTTTTTCAATATAAAAGAAATATTTTTTCTATCACACTAATTATATATTATCCTCTTTATTTTATTTTTAAATTTTATTATTAATAAATAAATAATATTTTTCTATTCATAATACCGCGTACTTGAAACCAAGCAACGCCCCACCAAATAGAAAAGTTCACACGGTTGCATTCTCCTTTTTCTATCATCTAGAAAAACAAAAAACAAAATAAAAAATAAAAATTCCTTCTTTGACACCTAAATAATAAAATAAATAAAATCCATTTCTAATATAAAGTTTTTAAATAGTTTTTCAATTTTCCCAGTAACAAAAAAAGTCTTATTCAAAAAAGTCTTATCTCTTTTTCTCTGTCTTCTAAGCCAACTACTAAAAGCAACAGAATTTCAACTTCTTGTTACAATCCTCATCACATTTCACTCAAACAAACAAAGAATCTTTCAACATAAAACCAATAATCACAATAACAATCATAAATCACAGAAAAGTAATCCACAATAATCGTAACAGAAACAAAAAATTCATAGCCATAAACCAAAAAAAAAACTAAATATTTCTCAAAAAAAAAATATAAAACTCACCGGTTTTTCTCCTCCATCGCCGGAGACACAGCGCCGTCGTCATCCACCGTATCAATTTTAAGGTAACTATCAAAATTTCAATGGAAAATTGAAAGAAAAAAATAGAAAACTCTGAAAACCTGTTTGTTTCTTTGTGATTAGGGAAGTTGAATTTTCAAAGATGTCGAGGTTTGCATTTTTCAATCGATCAAATACAATTCACGCGTCTTCGTCGGAGGAATCTCAGAAACCTTTCAACGAATTTCTCGACCGGTCCGGTTCGCTGAGCCGATTCTACGGTTCAGTAGAATCAATGAAATCGTCGATCCGTGGAAGGATGGTGAAGAAGCTCTGCAATATGTTCGAATCATCGCCGACGAAAGAATCTCACAAATCGGAACTGCGTTCGGCTTCGAAATTAGGTTCAGAACCGCACGGGGCTTCGAAATTAGGTTCGGAATCGCTTGCGGCTTCGAGATTAGGTTCGGAATCGCGTTCTGGTTCGGAATTAAGTTCGGAATCGCGTTCTGGTTCGAAATTGGGATGGGAATCCGGGATGTTGTTCCGATTGGAAGGTGGCGAGGAACGGATTGTGGTGTATTTGACGAGTTTGAGAGGAATTCGGAGAACGTTTGAGGATTGTAATGCGGTGAAGATGATTCTGAAAGGGTTTAGGGTTTGGGTTGATGAAAGAGATGTTTCCATGGATCATGCTTATAGAAAGGAATTGCAGGTACAAAGATTATTACTTTTTTTTCCTACAATTTTTATTTTTTACATTGATGTGATATTTATTTATTTAATATATTTACTAGTATCAATTTAATGATAGTTACAAAACTTGTTAACTAATGGTTAAAAATGATGCCTGAAATTTTCAAATGAGAAGTTCCAATATATTTTTGGTAAAGAAAATCTCATTTTTAAATTTTTTGTGTCCCTTTGTATTTGATGAGTCTATGTCATCTATATAGTTTGATTAAGATGAGATAATTCACATCTCCTAATCTTGTTTGTATCTCCCTACAAATTTTAGATCAATCCACGTTAGTTATTACTAGAGTTCATCCTATGATACTAATGATCGCGTGTGTGAGTTATTAGTAGTTAGGGTAATGTTAATTTGTGTCTTTGGAGCACAAATTAAAAAATAAATATAGTAAAAATTTATTGGAAATTGTGTATTAAAATTAAATCAATGACAAAAATTGTTTAAAATCGTAGATGTTTTTGTGTATGGAAGTGATAGTTGATAGTTGATGTTTTTGTGTATGGAAGCTTTTTAATATATTCCTGATAAAAAGTTTGTTAATATACATGTAATATCTAATTTATCTATAAATTGTTATGCAGTGTGTGATGGGGGAGGAAAATGTGTCACTACCCCAAGTCTTTATTAGAGGAAAATACATTGGTGGTGCTGATGTGATTAAGCATCTATTTGAAAGTGGTGATTTGAAAAGAATGCTTGACGGGTTTCCCAAGATGAAGCCTGGTTTTGTATGTGAGAGTTGCGGTGATGCTAGGTTTGTACCATGCGATAACTGCAGTGGAAGTCGAAAAATATTCGACGAAGATGAAGGTTTGTTGAAGCGATGCTTGGAATGCAATGAAAATGGACTCATTAGGTGTCCTTGTTGCTCTTGTTATTGACTGATTTAGATGATTATGAAAATGGAGCGATGCGGCAGTGTCGACGATGAAGTTGCAGTTGCAGATGCACTTCAAACTTTTATATTGAGATGAAATAAGAATGCAATGCTTTTGCAGAAAATTTAAAATTGTTGATATTATGACTATAACTTAAAACCATGATGATGATGAAGTTTTTGCACCTTGAACATTGTTTTGTTTTGTTCAAGAGTGTTTTCTTTGTTAACATCTAATTTAAGGACAAAACTTGTTTCATTATGAAAGTTTGTGCACTTGTAAATATTTAGGGATGTGTGAATATGTAAATGTTCAATTTATGATGAACATACATATTTTATTGAAATCTCTTTCCGTTATTTAAACTAGCGTCCATGTGTCCGTTGTCCGCTTCAGTTTTTTAATGTTTAGACATTTAAAAATATAAACATATTTTTTGTGTATTAATTTTATATAAAAAATTGAATGAAAATAGTTGTGCAAACTACCATATAACAATTAATAAAAAATAAATTAATAAAAAAAAATTAAATTTTAAAATAAAAAACAAAAGGATATAATTAGAATAAAAATAAGTTACACCAAATCTATATTTTTTATATATGTTAGAGATATATAAAATATCAAATTAGTGTTTCAGGCATTCCAAGCTAATATTGGGGGATTGTTATGTCTTTTGACGATAACTATTGATCTTATAGTTAATAGGTCTTTAGCATATTTTTTTGGGCCTTCTCATGGTAATGAGCCTTGCTACGGTATATAAGGCATAAGGCCTCTTTTGTATTAGATAACAATTTCAAAATTGCATATTACACTGTCTTCTTCTTCTTCATTTTCAATTTACTTTTTCCGCCATAGTTGCACATCACTTTTTGCATCACTAATTGTAATATGGTATCAATAGACTATACCCTTAAGCTCTTCATCGTCGTCTTCCACTTCTGTTATCGCTTATAACCCACTTCCTACTTTCTTTCCATGGCTCCCGGCGATGACAATTCATCTGTTAAAGAAACCCCCACAAAACATAATGCTCCCAAGACTGATCCGCCAGATCCTATCTTGAACTCTCGTAACCCCTTTTATCTTCATCCCGGTGAAAATCAAGGAGCCACCATTGTCGCTCCACTATTGGATGACAACAACGATCACAATTGGAGCAAATCGATGCGACGAGCTTTGACCTCCAAGAACAAGCTCTCCTTCATCAATGGTAATCTTTCCAAACCCGTTGTATCTGACCCTAACTATGAACTTTGGGATCGTGCAAACAATATGGTTCTCTCTTGGATTAACCGCACGCTTTCCCCGCATATCGCACAAAGTACTATATGCTTTGATTCTGCTTTCGATCTTTGGGAGGACCTTCGAGAAAGATTTACTAAAGGTAACCATTTTCGCTTCTCCGATCTTCTTCGTGGTTTGCATTCTATTCAACAGGGTGATAGATCTTTATCCACCTATTTTACCGATCTTAAGATTCTTTAGGATGAATTATAAGATTTAAGACCTACACCTTCTTGCACTTGCCCCATTTCCTTTACCTGTGATTTGGCTAAGGTTGTGCGTAATTTTAAACATATGGAATATCTGTTTCTTGAAAGGTTTAAACGATAACTACACCCAGATTTTGCTCCTTGACCCCTTACCTAGCATTAGTCGTGTGTACTTTCTCATTGCTCAACAACAGGTTACTCCCTCAATTGCATCTACACCTACATCCACCATTCTTTCTGCCAATAATACTAACTCTAGAAGTAAAGGCAAATCCACCTCCAAAACATCCATATTGTGCACCAATTGTTACAAAACTAACCATACAGTGGAAACTTGCTATTTCAAGCATGGCTTTCCACCTGGCTATAGGAACAAGAACTATAAGACTTCATCTTGTTGGTGCAAAGGTAGAATAAATGATGAAAAAGAGAAATATTCTATTAAGAATGACGGCTACACAACTATATAAAAATAACAATGATTGCAACCCTATTTATAAATTAAAATTAGGGTTACTAGAATAAGATAAAATACTAAAATACCCTCTAACAAACTTAGGGGCTAAGAAAATAGTACTAATAATATGAATTACTTCTAATACCATCCCTTAATTCATATTTCATCAAAACTTGTAACACCAATTTCATCCCTTAGTCTGAGAAATTGATCAGTCTTGATAGCTTTCGTCAGAGCATCTGCCAACTGTTTCTGAGTGTTGCAGTGTACAACTTCTAACACTCCACTCTGAACTTGATGTCTCAGAAAATGATACTTGGTCTCAATATGCTTGCTTCTCCCATGCAGCACTGGGTTTCTGGCAAGATTGATTGCAGACTTGTTGTCAATCATCAGCTTCAGAGGTTTGTTTATTTTAATCTTCAGATCCTGAAACAGATTCAGAATCCACACAGCTTGGCATGCAGTAATAGCACCTGCAATGTATTCAGCTTCACATGTTGATAACACCACAACAGGTTGCTTCTTGGAACACCAAGAAATGGGACCTCCCAGAAATTTGAACAAGTACCCAGATGTACTTCTTCTGTCAACTCTGTCTCCACACCAATCAGAATCTGAATAACTCAGAAGTTCTGACTCATCCTTTCTTCCAGAAGGAAACAACACTCCATACTTCAGAGTTCCCTTGATATACCTCAGAATCCTGACAGCAGCTTGGTAATGGGACCACTTAGGTTTACTCATGAACCTACTAACCATCCCAACAGAGTAGCAAATATCAGGTCTGGTATTGCACAGATACCTCAGAGAACCAACCAACTGTTTGAAGGTTGTAGCGTCCACATCCTTTCCATCAGAGTCAGAATCCAGTTTCTGATTTGTATCTGAAGGTGTGACAGCAATCTTACAATTCTTCAGTTCAAATCTCTTCAGAAGTTCTAATTCATACTTGAGCTGATGCAAAATGATACCTTTCTCAGAATATCTGAACTCCATCCCTAGAAAGTATGTCATTTTGCCTAGATCAGTCATTTCAAATTCATTCATTAGAACTTTCTTGAACTTGGCTATCTCCTGTTCAGAACTTCCAGTCAATAGTATATCATCAACATATAAACATACCAGAGTCATATTGCCTTCAGAAGTATGCTGAACATAGACACCGTACTCCATCTCACATTTCTGAAAGCCTTGCTTCTTAAAAAAATGAATCAATCTTCTGATTCCAAGCTCTGGGCGCTTGTTTCAATCCATATAGAGCTTTGTATAATCTGTACACCATCCCTTCCTGATTCTTTTTCACAAATCCAGGAGGTTGTGACACGTAAACTTCTTCTTCTAATGGACCATTCAAAAATGCAGATTTTACATCTAAATGCATCAGAGGCCAATTCCTGTTAGCATCTATTGCAATCACCATTCTGATTGTTTCATGTCTTGCTACAGGTGCAAACACTTCAGAATAATTCATCCCAGGTTTCTGTAGAAATCCTCTGGCTACCAACCTTGCTTTATGTTTGCCAATTGAACCATCTGGCTTTAACTTCTGCTTGAAAACCCATCTAACGCTGATGGCTTTCTTGTCTTTTGGAAGTTCTGTCAGCTTCCAAATCTTGTTTCTCTCTATAGCATCAAGTTCTTCTTTCATGGCCTTCAGCCAGAGCTTCTGCTTAAGAGCCTCTTCTGTACTTATGGGTTCAGAGTCTACCATCATGGCACACTGAATAACTTCTCCTTCAGAGTCTACTTCAGTGTCTTGCAGCATGTCAAATTCTGCATATCTTCTGGGGACGTTTTTGATTCTTTGTGGTCTCTGAACTTGTTCAGAGTCTTGGGCTTCAGATGATTGACTTTCTCCAGAGCTTTGACCAACTTCAGGATCTGGCATATTTCCAGAGTCTTGAACTTCAGAATTTCTAGCTTCAGAGGCTTGACTTTCTCTAGAGCCTTGGCCATCTTCAGAGTCTGGATCATCAGAGTCTGGATCATCAGAGTCACCTTCATCTTCTGAGTCTTCTCTAGAGTCAGAATCACTATCAGAGTCAGAATCAACGTCAGAATTTACTCCAACTTCAAAAATTCTTAACTCTGACCTTTCTTCAGGAGTTCTAACATCAGAATCAGATTGAGACTTATCCCAATTCCAAACTTCTGATTCCTTCACAATCACATCTCTGCTGAATTCAATTTTATTGGTTTCTGGACAATAGAGCTTGTATGCACCTGTACTGTGGTACCCTATCAGAATCATCACTTTGCTTCTATCATCCAGCTTCTGTCTTCTGGCTTCTGGAACATGTTTATAGCAAACAGAACCAAACACCTTTAGATGACTAACACTTTGCTTATCTCCAGTCCACTTCTGTATTGGAACTATTTCCTTCAACTTCTTCGTAGGACATCTGTTGAGTACATACGTTGCAGTGGCAACAGCTTCTCCCCAGAGCTTCTGAGGAAGCTTCTTATCCTTTAGCATGCTTCTCACCATATCAAGCAAAGTACGGTTTCTTCTTTCAGCAAGACCATTGTGTTGAGGGGTATAAGGAGCAGTAACATCATGCTCAATTCCATTCTCCTCACAGAACTTCTGGAACTCTTTGGAGTTATACTCACCTCCACCATCAGTTCTAAGAATCTTCAACTTCTGACCACTCTGATTCTCAGCCTTCATTCTGAACTTCTTGAATTCATCAAACACCTCATGTTTAAATTTAATAAGGGATACCCATGTCATTCTTGTGAATTCATCAACAAACAACACAAAGTACTTATTCCCTCCATCAGAATGTACAACTCCCAAGGCATGTTTTGCTCTTGGAGCAGCTTCTGACGCAAATGGCAATCGTGGTTGTTTTCCTTCCATGCAAACTTTGCATGATTTTTCAGGCTTCTTAATTGCAGGAATTCCATGTACCAACTTCTTTGAATTCAGATGTTTTAAGCTTCTGAAATTCAAATGACCAAATCTTCTGTGCCACAGCTCACTCTCCTTCTCAGTACATGTTGCACTAAGACATTCTGAGTCTGCAGTTCTGACATTCACC